GGACCATTAAAACTGAAACTGACACCTTTACACATGTACAATGGCTATAAACCTCTGTTATAAATTTAGCCAATATTATCAAATTAAACCACTACGCCAAATGTACATGTACCAGCATACCTATGTACATGTACCAGCGTACCAGTGTATATGTACCAGTGTACCTATGTACATATACCAGCGTACTTATTACCAGTGTTGATCCCCCATACTGTATAGCTTGACTATCCCCCAGGTCCTCATATGCCTCCTCAAACAGTCTCATCGTATCACAGTCAAAAGGAAGGTGTGGCTCATCCAGTAGTCCTAATAGATACAGCTGATAGCCAAGGGCCACTTTACCAATAATGAACTGGGCAGTGTTGGTCCTGTCTAGACAATCCACACAATTGACACGGATTATACCAGTTTGACTCCTACCGACAAACCCATCATGATAACCGTAACCTTTTAAATTAAGATAACTGAGAGAGGGAGAGAGAGAGAGTGAGAGGGAAAGGGAGAGGGAGGGAGGGAGGGGGAGAGGGAGGGAAAGGGAGAGGGAGGGAGGGAGGGGGAGAGGGAGGGAAAGAGAGAGGGATACATAAAAATAGAGAGCGATAAAGAGAGGAGTACATGTACATGTGTACACTGTATGCTTTTGAATTGTAAATCTTTTTAAATTTAGGTCCAAGTTAGACTATTACTATAGTAGGGCCACACTGACTTTTTATTGTTATTATAAGTGCAGGTTTGGTGGTCACGTGTGAAGTAGCTGCTAATTGTTTGTTAAGTGTTTATTTATATTGTGTATACCAACTATGAATATGATTATCTCAAATACAGCACATCACAGGTATTATAATTATTAATAAAACTTAAGATATTGTAAATTAAAAGTTTAAAAGTAGTCAGATGTCTTTCTCATTGTTGTGGGCAGTCACAGATTTATTAGGAGAGGTACAGCAGCATCTCCAAGTAACTTATGGTGTGATCATCATCTATTCATCACCGAACTCCCAACAGACAAGAAGAAAAAGACTCAGGTTCATCAAATTGTGTCTATGGTTCAAGTTCCTGTATATCAACTGCTTATCCTTCATTCTATCATTGTTCAAGTTCAGATCTTGGACTGTTATTTGTCACATTCTGAAACTATGTTTCTTATTGTTATAATACTCAGTTCTAAAGCAGAAAAGTAGTAAGTATTGTTATTAGGAGGCATATATACAAATCCTACCTTCAAAAGCATAGCATAAAGGCTTAGACAATGTAAAAAAGGTATGGCTACCTATCTTAGCTTAGCATTTGCTGCAAGATTATGCAGTTCTTCTCCTTACATTTGTATATGTATGAAGTTAAGATAGCTTTATACTTTACCTATAATTGTATTGGCCTTTCCTTTGAGTCTTGTACATTGTTCAAAGTCTGTTTCCCACTTCTTGCTGCAGCGGCCATTTTATTTTATCCGCCTACGCGATAACCGCACGTGGGTGGTAGTAATGGCGTCAAGTGCTCTTCAAGTGTCCATGTGCTTTGATTTTACTTCTCCTTTTCTATAACTGTGCTCTAGTTGTATCATATATCAAAATACCGGGGTTTTGGAGAGGATCATAATGCAAAAAAACCGCTGTCTGTAGCATTTAAAATAAGAAAGTTATTACATTATGCAGATTTAAAAGTCAAAGTGGCCCTAGTATAATAAGATACACTGTACATGTACGTACTAATAATTTATTGTAAGGTAAGATAGTGAGAGGTAGAGGTACATGTACAATTAGTGGATGTTGTCCAGTATTATAGTGAGTATTGTTCCTTACTCCTGGTGAGGGTTCAGTTGGTGGCAGTATGGCTCCTGTCCACTGTGGAATATACCAGTACTCTGTACACACTCACCAGCTAACCTCTCTAGTCTTGATATGAGATCATCCTGCTTCCTGTGTAGAGGGAAAGGGAGAGACAACAATAGATTAATACTAAGTATACTATCATTTATGAATATGTACCACACCAGCAAATCTCACAAGTAAAATATAGTTTACATTTAAGTACATGTACATGTACATAGTACAGTATAGCTTCTATAATAAGGACACCTTTATAATGAGGACACCTTTTTAATAAGGACATTTTTGTAATGTCCCAATTGGTACAAGCCTATGATATACAGTAATTTCTCTAAAAATTCGTCATTACTGTTTTGGGGCAGATATTTTTAGAACAAAATTTTAGATGTCAAACAGAAATAATTAAGCCAAAATAATTATTTTTGATGAATTCAGAGGCAGCATGGTAGAGCATGAGTGGGTCAAGAAAGTCTGCCCAGTCACTGCTTACCTGCTACTCCATTGACAGTTAAGATGATCCTCACAAAATTAGAACACATGGTAAGGATAATTTTAATGATGAATTAGACTACTTTAGGTACATGTACATGTACTATTTCATAGATATAATACACGGAACAGGATTAGAAACAGGATCACGTGAGCGCATTATCCATTGAAACACTCCTAGTTATGCCGGGAACCGGTCCCGTAATGGAGATAAATGGAGATACTTTGTGGGACTCTCCAGACGATATCTGATAGTTTTGTAACTAAATATCTGCTTTAATGGTTACTTCTTAACCTCTTACAGTGCACTGTGG